TCTCCATGATTGATATTTGAAAAACCAGGTGGATGAGATAGAGAATCATACATAGATAGAATATCCAACATGCAAATAAATCCACCTGAGAAACTAACCGGAGCCTATTTATTAAAGTTTTCTTTTCCAATTTGAAAAGATCCAGAGTTAACAATATGCTGGAACAGTGGGGGTAAATATCATAATGGATGGAGCTTGTAGTTCTTCAGCAGCAAGCAGCATCAGAGGTCGGAACAGTTGTTGCAGTAGCTAGGAGGATGACAGTCGGTCCAGGGGCAACAGATGAATGAACCTGTAAAGCAGCAGGTGAACTTGAAGCACAGCGTTCAACAAGATCTTAAAGAAAAACCTTTTCCATTACTGAATTCCCATTTTTCCCCTGAGGTCTCTCTCTTTAATTGTTATATTTTTTGCCATTACGCCAACTATTAAATCATTTATGAATTTCATTGTTGACCTCATATTTTTTCATTTTTTCAATAGCATCATAAATACCAAAGGGATCCGATGAAAGCTCCTCATTTCTTTCAAAGCAGTAAGAGGGGTCGTTTGATAGTTCATGATTAGGTTAGAGCTGACTGGGTTAGAAGCTCAATGGGTTAGAAATGCTGACTGGGTCCACATCTGACTAAGTTTATGTTGTTTGATTATTTATCCGACTGATTGTCCTGAATGAAAATAATGACTATATTACCCTTGTGTTGTCCCTTGTGCTAGATAAAAATAATTATAAAAATACAAACTATAACATAAAAACAAAATTAAACATACATCATTTAAAATCCAAATACAAAGTGTAATGCAAAATCCAAATACAAATTGTCATACATAATAATAAAAAAAAAGTACATCACTTAACGTGAACCATGTGAAAGTAACCGATTAGCAATCTGATCACGCAAAGTAGTCATATAGTCAACTGCTTCTGTACCCCATTTTATGCCATGTATGTTTTGGCCCTCACTTCCTCCACCTTCCACGCCAGGAGTAACCATAGTGTTTTGTTCAAAGTTCGTAAATAATTCATCTTCGATATTGTATTTCCTTATAAAATTGTGGACCGCAACACAAGCAATGACTATGTCTCTTTGCACTGGAAAAGGATAAGGAGCCATTTGTTTTAAAATTGGAAATCTCGCCTTCAATACACCATAAGCACGTTCAATGATATTTCTAAGTTGTGCATGAGCATGATTGATCATTTCTTCCTTAGTTAAAGCTCTGTTTCCTCGAAAATTGGCTAACCAATACCTAGTATTGCGGTAGGGAGCCATAAATCCACATGTGTTGGTGTATGCAGCATCACAAAGGTAATACTTATCTGTAGATGATTGAAAAACTTATTATATAAATAATACTGATAATAAATCTTATAGAAAAATTACAAAACTGGTGGAGGGAATGGAAATCCCGAAGTCGGATTAAATGCAACTTCTTTCAAAACTTTAGAATCATGTGCTATACCCTCCCATCCAGCCCATACAAAGGTGAATATCATATCAAAATCACATATTCCTATTACATTTTGATAACGTTCACCTTTTCCTCTTCCCCTATAACGAGTTTGTTGATCAACGGACACAACTGCATGTACAAGCGTTCCATCTAATGCACCTATTGCTCCGGGAAATATATTTATTAGTCGTCTATGTCGTTTTAAGGTATTTCTTGTTGGATTAGATGATGCTGATACTATAATTTCTCTTGCAAAACACATCATTGCATGTAGGACCTCATGAAAACATTGATGAATTGTTTGTGTTTAGTGGTGAAATCTTCCTTTAACTGCTCGAAACCGTTCATTATGTTCAATAACATGTAAAAATATAGCCATCTTCTCTTCAACACTTATTGTCCTACTACGTTGCAACCAATTTCTTTGTGTAAAATGATTGCATAATAATACAAATGTATCCTGTGAAAGACGCATCATATTGTAACATTGTATAGGATCTCCGTGTATCAAATCCTGTGTGTACGTATGGCCATTTTCCACCGGTTCGCTAGCGCTTATTCTTTTAATTATTCGTTGCCTTTTTTGGACCAACATCATCCAATACCATGAGAATACATGGAAATATAAAAATTGACCTTGTTTATCCATATATGACCTGTAAAATGTTAAACACAAATTATATAAAAATCAATAACATAACAAACCATAACATATAAATGCAAAACACTTAACATTCCATAACATATAAATCCAACAACAAAAATCCGTAAAACACAAAAAATCTAACAAAAAACTCCTTAACACATAACAACTCTAAACATAAAAATCCATCACATGAACTATAACATATACTAAAAGTCAAACAATGAACCATAATATACTAAAGTCAAACAATTAATCCAAACTTTTTTCCCGCATTTGTTACCCACGACTCACAAGTAGACAAGTTGAGGCGCAACCAAATTTTCCTATTACCTGCACTTTCAGCAAATAACATAATAGCAGTTGTGTATTTTGGATCATATTGTCCCCACTCCAACCTTGCCAACTTCGCCATACAATCATCCATCTCCTTGTTAAGATTATTCTCTTGCGTGAATGCCTGTGCAACCTTGATAATTTATTTGCCAACTTCTTTCAACTCATCATCAAGTGTGGTTTCTTTGGGACCATTTCGTTCCCCCCCCCCCCTTGGTTTTTGTCCGTCCAGGGGATTCTTCACTTGCAGGTGAAGCACTAGTAGGTTTGGGTATTGTTGAGGTTGGGGTATCAATATGAGGTGTTGGCTCCTCCATCTTAGTATCCTCAAAATCATTTGTACTAAACATTTCAGAAGGATGAGGTTGTGTCGAAGATGGACCCTAACTGTGAGCGTCGGTCGAGGTCGCCCCATCAAACAGTTGGATACAAAGATCAGGGCAAGGTAAGGGTGCATTTCTCAGCTTATCTACATACTTATTCAGCTGTTTGGAAAATTAATAATTATTATCAAACTAGTAAAAAAATAATCTAATTTAATATATATATATATATATATATATATATATATATATATATATATATATATATATATATACCTTGGCCTCTACTTCCCATTCTTCATCAGTCATGTTGAAAGAGTTCGTTAAAGGATTATAAAGATTTCCGGTTTTATTTTCCAGTTTCAACCATACGGTATACTTTGCTTTTAAGTAGTCGTATCGGTTTTTCATTTGTTTTCTTTCGACAACAAAATTATGCTCACTTTTTAATTTCTCCGAGACTACAATCCATGAGATTCCTTTTAGGTCACTACCCTCCCGGTCATTAGTGGTTAATTCGTGTATACATGCCTCCAAAAAAGTTTTGTCCACACTCTCTAACTTCCAAGTAACTCTAGTTCTTTTATCTGTCATGCTATATATAGAGTAAAACACACACACACACACACATGTACAACATAAGTCAAGACATTACAACTTCGCATTTAAGCTTTCATACAAAAGATTGATATTTCTAATAAGTTTAAAATTTCAGCTTTCATATATATATATATATATATATATATATATATATATATATATATATATATATATATATATATATATATATATATATTCAGATTTCAACTTTCATACAAACAAATTTCAGATTTAAAATACAAACAAATTTCAGATTTAAAATTTCATTGTAACATATGTTTTGACAAATTATAAGAAGTGATAGTTCCATGTTGGGTACTTATTTCATCAATGTGAATCTTGTGGTTGGGAAAACTTGGGATTAAAAAATTTCTAAGCTCAAAACAGTCTAATGGATTTGGAAGTAGTAGTATCTCCATATCTTGGCATGTGTAAACTGCCGAAATTTGCATATTATGCTCATAGTAATGTTTGCTCATTGTTCTTGTCCTTAATTAATGGAACATGAACATCACTATCCTTCAATCAAAGTACTTTTTTGTAATAAAGTTTTTAAAGATTATCATGTGTGGCAGGTTCATTCAGAATCAAACTTCAAAAGGGATTTCATACATCAAAAGAAAAAAAAAAGATGTGATGAGATTCTGTTGTCGATGATAAAAAAAAAAGATGCGATGAGATGCCTTGTGATAAAAAAAAGAGAAGAAGAAGAGAACCTGTTGTTGTCGTTGCTGCAGTTGATGTTGTTGTCGATGATGTGGTAGATGTTGCTGTCAATTTCGGGAATTAAAGGAGTCCTTGCTGAGAATGCGTCGAAGCAGGAGGAGTCGCTGAGCAATAGGACGTGAATTTGTTTTAGGGCGCAGGGGCAGAAACGGCAAGATAAGAGCCTTTTCTTTGGTCATTCGTGTTTTTGTGGGGGACCGAGTCAGCCAATGGGTCAGCTATTGCTAACCGAATCATCACTTTTGGAGGCCCATCAAACAGTCTGACTACTAACCGAGTTAGCAGTCAGCTCTGCCTAGTCCGGGTAAGTGCACAACAAACGACCCCAGAGTTTTCTTCATTTTGTTCAGTTTCTTGTAGTTCACTCTTGGCCAGATCAGGAGTAGGAAAGTCATGAATAAAGGATGGGGTCAACCTCGGAGCTTCTTTGACCCTAATCCAATGTATAATCCCACCAACACGGACTTTGATTACTTCTGAAATGATATTTTGGACAGTTGTAAGTATGTAGATCCTATTCTTGTAAATATCTTCTCCCGGGTCATCATCTAACTGTGTTATTGTTCCCTATTCAGAGAGAGTTTTTCTAAATGACTCTTTACTCCAAATAGAAAGAGGGACTCCTTCAACATCCACCCATACTATACGTTTTGATGGAACAAAGTTTCGATCCCATGCTCTCTTTTCTAAAAGCCAATGATCCATAACTTCATGACTCATAAAGTTTTTGCATGCATTATTGGAAGTAAATTCAATCAGTACCCACAAACCTCCAACATATATCATCTCAAAATTATCAAACCCTCGTCCAAACATAGCACCCGGAGATTGGGAAGTGTAGAAAAATCTCTTGCCTTAACAAGGCATGCCCTTTGTCTTTTTTCAACTATGTAGTCTCCAGAAGGAAGATCAATGATCTACTCCATATTAGTGATGTTTCTCATATTATTAGGAAGGCCTCGGACGACATTCACATAGCATTTTACATTCACATTACGATGAACTGCTGTGGAGAGGCCAACAGTCCGGGGGGTACGATTATTATTTCCCAGTGAACGAGGGAGGGAGGCAAACAGTTTATATGATCCAAACCAAACTTCATGAAGCTGTTTTAACAGAGAGTCACAATTACAATCACCTGAAAACCTAATAAAACCAAATCGTTTCCCTAATTTTGATAGTTTTTTAGCGATAAACACACCAATTATCTTACCCAAGCGACTACAAGCTCGACCACATACTCTCTGAATGTCTTCGGCTTGAACAAAATCTGGAAAATTAGTGACAAAGAGGGAGATTATATCTGACCTTACGTGAGTAGTTCTTGGTTCTTGGCTGCTATGATGATCCCTACAATTACCATGCACGTTCACGTTCCTATTGCGGTGACTGACTGTCGTCCAAGAGTTATCTCCCATCATGGTGATACCGTGGTTACACCGGTGTTTGATCCCGTCGGCGACTACGAGAGGCCCAATGTTGTTGATACGAGATCGAGGGGCCATTAGGGCGAGGGCCGTTGTGGCAAGTGTGGGAGGATGCACGATGGGGCGTGCAAGGTGGGTGGTTCTGGCTGCTTCAAGTGTGGTTGGACGGGTCATATCAGCAGAGATTGTACTGCTACTACCATCACCACCCTGGTATCTGATCTGATTTTCTTTCAATGCAATTAAAGGGACCACAAGAAGGCCCATTGTCCGAGTTTAACTATAGCAAGACCAGTGTCAGCACCCGCTCCTGCGAATCTACGGATTACTGACGGCCGCCAGGGCAAGGCGGATGCACCTATGGTGAAGAGCAAGGCTTTTCAGTTGATGGCTGAGGAGACTCGTGTAGCACCTGGTGTGGTGACAGGTATGTATCCTCTCCTTATCTTTTTATTTATATTGAATTGCTTGCTTATATTTATGTGTTTTATTTTTAGGATCGTTCCTCATGGACGGTATTTTTACTTTGATATTGTTTGATTTGGGGGCTACCCGATCATTTGTATCGTTTGCGCTTAACGAGAGTTTTACTAGAGTTTAGGTTTAACGCACCAAACATATAGAGACCAACATCCACTTTGTGAGATCAAGTTGCTTCCGGGCTATTTTTGGTTTTCCATGTCCCTTCTTCTTCTGATCAGTATGCGCAGATCTTCATGAAGGGACTATTGTCAACTTTGTGTTTCAGGACTTCCACACCAGTTTGAACATTGAAAATTCCTCCCAATCAAACCAAACGACCGGATGGCAGGATGTTAGTGTACATATATTTAGTACTATTCTTTGTATGCTTTGTATATGTATCACAGCCCAGTCCATACATAGTTGATGGCCCATATGGCATCTCATGTATAAATGTACTCTGGGATATTCACTTGAATGGACACAGTATTTATTTTTAATATTATCTTTTGAACCAGGTAAAAAAAAATTTAATAATTACATCGAGTATACAGCAAGTATGTAAAAGATTCAAAAACAGATGAGGTCCAAAATCATGGGAAATATGATGAGCTTTCTGGAAATGAAAATTTGATCAGACTGCATAATCAAAAGTTCGTTGACTTTGAACAAACCAAAAGTCATCTGGCGCGTGGCAAGGGTGTAGACATGATTATAAAAACTATTTACTAAACAATATAATAGGTGCTTATTTTAATTAAATATTTAAGAGGGTCACTTTGGAACTAATCTATATTAGTTGATTTTAAACTTGTTTTCCTTTTACTTGGTTATTTTTATTTTATCTATTATCTATTATCTATTTGGCAACCAAAATAGAATATAACTCGATTTAATTTATTTAAGTAAATGGATCATTAATTATTTTGAAATGGTGTATAGCGTATAATACAACGTGAAAAACAAGTTTGTCTAGAATTTTCAATACGGACTTAGGAGTCGGAGAGGGTCCATTTCTGGGTAACTTCCAATTTTCTTGAAGTAATTGTAAATTTTACGACGGGCAGCCCACTTTGAGAAACTGGTCACCTATGACCCCCCTACGTACAATCCTATATTCTTTTCCACATTTCACTTTGGTCAACACGCGCAAAACAACAGGACCAACTCCATATAAATAACACAAATTTCACATTTTAAAGGCTCAGGGCTATCAGTTTAAACATTCGGCTTCATATATAATGGACAAAGAACAGCAATACGAACGTGTATTCAGACATCTGGACAAGAATGGTGACGGGAAGCTATCACCACCGGAGCTCCAAATTTGCATGGGGAAGATTGGTGAGGAGTTGTCATTGGAGGAGGCGGAGATTGTAGCTGAGTTAATAGACTCAGATGGTGATGGATTTTTGAGCTTTGATGACTTGGTTAAAATGGTGGAAGGTGCAAATGAAGAAGAAAAGGCGAATGATTTGAAGATGGCGTTTCGAATGTATGAAGAAGTTGAGGGGTGTGGTTGTATAACGCCCAAGAGTTTGAGGAGGATGCTTAGCAAACTAGGAGAGTCGAGAAGTGTGGATGAATGTAAGTTGATGATCGCCAAGTTCGACCTCGATGGCAACGGGTTCCTTGATTTCGGCGAGTTTCAGGACTTGATGTCATGATGAATAGTATGCATGATTCAGAATATTAATTACCTGATAACCTGATTGATTCATACTTCATGTGTACGTTATGTATTCTTTCATTCTTCACGCCTTCATGGCCTATATGCCTATATGTTTGTGCGTTCGTTCGTCTTTAGATAATTCTTTTGGTGATTGACATCATTTAATTTTTTTTTTTGCATATATGTGATAGATGATTCATTCGTCCGAGTTGTAAATATAATTGGCTAGCTATTTATTTGCAATTTCACTTGTTACTTATCTATCGTCTTTTAATACACATACACCTCTTTATAAAGCTCAAAATTAATCGTAGTTTGTTTGTTGTAATGTTGGTGGTATAATTAGTCATCAGATACCTAACTTCAAGTTGCATTTAAACGATCTGACACGACGAATGAGTGAAATTCTGGAAAATCAAATCCAAAAAAAAAAAAAAAAAACACGTACACCACCAGAATATGAATACATCAACTATATTATATTTAGTTTATTGATGATGATATATTTCTAATATTTTATTAAACAAAATTTAACTTGTTCCTAATTATACTGCTTAAATGAAATACTTGCATGTATCTTTTATAAAATATACTAGATATATAATTAAGACCTGGCTGTACGTAGTTGATAATTTGGGAGCACGTTGGAAGTTCCTTTGCCAATACACAAGTAGAGCCAGAGGGACACATACATTTAACATTACAACATATTCACAAGATGAAACTTGATAGAAACTGAAATACCTATAAAGTAACGTTTACTCAAATTTTCATTTTTCTAATATATGCAACGCATGATGCTGTAACGTTGGTTGTATAAAACATGGAATTAAAGAAGTTTTAGAATAAGACCAAATTAATATAATTAAAACTTAAAAGCAACACATGGATCAACCGTTGGGTCAAGGACGACACCAACTATTAATAGTTATAGGCGTATAGAGGTCGTAGGTTCAAGTCTCTTTGAAGACATAAATAATTATTTAGGAGTAGGTTAATTAGTTAGTTTGCCGTTTCAAAAAATAAAAAACAAGTCTTTTTTTTTTTAAAGGCAAGCAGGACTTTATAAGCACAAAACTAGCCAACAGCAAGGAAAACATGAGAAGAAAAAAGACTGAAAAAAAAAACATGGTAAAAATAAATCCTACAATAGCATTCTAAAATGGGATCACAACTCCATTCTATCCATCTTAATTGTAGACATTCCTTTTACGAGCATTAATCCATAAGTATGAGAGGGATTGAACCTCGTGAGTCAGCACCAAATGCGACTTCAACTTTGACGAGTAAGCTTTTAGGTTTCTATAGCTCCAGACCACCCAAATGAACACCAACATTATGGCTTCGTGTATCGTGACAATTAAAGTTCTAAATAACGTAAGGTGTAATTTGGCGGAAAGGTAAAAGTTAAGCCATGACAAGCGTTGGCGAGCCATGATGCTTTTTAAGGCGTGATTATATTATATACATTAAAAAATATAAATCATATAATTATTGAATTCTATCAAATATATGAAGTTTTTAGAAGTTTTATATTAATATCTAATAGAAAAAAGTTAACAAGAACTCATTTATTTTAAGCCCGATAAAAAAAACAAAACAAAAAAAAAAAAACTCGCGCTTTGAAAAAAACTCGTGCCATAACACGATAAGACGCGTCTTGACACGTTATTTGGGCGCAACGCTTCACAAACCCTCCTTGGACGTTTTCGTAACGGCTACATCACACATTGCGCCATGTCACACCTTGAGGCGCGCCATGTCGCGCTTTTTAAAACCATGGTGACAATCTTTGGTGACCACCTAGCGACAAAACTGTAAGATTGGTCTCTATGGTATTCAAAAAACTTTAGATAGGGTCCAAAAAAATTTCACTGCATAGAAGGTCCAAAATCAAGATTTTTCTGTGTTTTTAGTCCAAAATAACTTAAAATGATGGTTATACCCTTTTACTTAGTTTTTTTTTATATTTTTAATTTTTAAAATACTATTTTAATTTAAAAATAAAAAGAAAAAAATAATTTCTCTCTCTCTCTCTCTCTCTCTCTCTCTCTCTTTCTCTCTCTCTCGTTTCTACACCATCAACGACAAAAAGGAGAACCGACAATCCTCCTCTACCCCTCCTTTCTGTCAATCGGAAACAACCAAACACCCCTGAGGATCGTCGCTTCCCCGTGTTGCTACCTCAATGTTTCTTTCCTGTGACAGCCGTCAAAATTCGAGTCGGTTCTAGATTTCACTAAACTTAGTTGCACATAGAGGCACGACACATACTACACTTAGTGACTAGAAACTAAGTTATAACCTACTAGAAACTTGGAAACAATTAGAATCGAAGGATAGTGTACTTAGATTTCACATGGTTATGTGAATTCTACAACTACTTAACTGGAGTGACTATCCACATTCGGGTCATTCCTTGACTCAAACACCTTTTCATGAATCATATACACACATCATGCACTTGACCTAGTAGTAAAAATTAGGTTAAAGTCTCATAGAAACTTAAATTAAAGTTGAAGACTAGGACTAGTATACTTGATTCCTCAATCTCGCTTGAATCTCGGAATCACTACATAGAATACCAATAAAACGTTAAAAATGAATTAAAAACATTATTTTTTAACAAGAAAAGAGTTTGAAACTCTATTATAATTTGAAATCTCAAATAATTCAATTTATTTTGATATCCAAATATTTATTAAATTTCAAAACCCTAAAAACTCAAATTTATAAACTATAACACCTAATAATCCACAAAATTTGGTATGGACTATATAATAATATCAATTTAAAATAACTCAATTTAGTAAAATATAACCAAGGAGAAATAAAATTTAAGTCATTAGTATTTAACCTTATTTTCTAAGCTAAAAATTTAAGGTTTTGTGAAGGAAAATTAGGATAAGGTGCATATTTTATAAAAACTTGATATTTTTATAAAATAAAGTTATATTTTATAAAATTTAAAAGAGGGAGACCCTCTCTCCATTCAAAAGTTAGATTTCTCTCTCTCTCTCTCTCTCTATCTCTCTCTTTCTCTCTCTCTCTCTCTCTCTCTCTCTCTCTCTCTCTCTCTCTCCTCTTCCCAACACACTCAACCAATTCCTCTCCATACTTCACTTTCTCTCTCACACTCCCTCACTTCATCTTCTCTCTATTCTTCCTCTCTCTAGGAACCACGAAATTTCCATAAAACAAGCCCAAGAACACTCATGATGCTCAAAATCTTCATCATCTAGTCGTGTTTATTAAGGTAGAACACGATTTCCTTTCATTTTCCTTCAAGTTTATGAATTTTCTTGCATTTCCTTGTTCTTCTACACCATTCTCTTAGAAAATTTGTGTGAATATTCATTCACTTCAGTTTTGATGATGATGGTGGTAGATTTTCATCAAAAACATCTTGCATGTTACAAAATGGCGAATATCCATGACCTAAACCTAAGTCAAAATCAATGAAATGCACTTTTCTACATGTTTCGGTAAAAAAAACACCACATGCACCCTACGTTTTCTATCAAAAACGATTTTTAAACATTTCAAAGTCATGATTGGTCTTGAAACCAACATGCATGTGATGATCTTCAAGCTTAGATGTTTGATGTTCAAATTTTGTTGTTAAAAGTTTTCAAATATGTTCATAAAAGATTTATTCCCAAATAAATACATAACACTTCTCTTCTATTCAAATGATATTTTTCCTATAATCTAACCAACAATATAAGATGATCTGTAAATTTTCAGAAAATAATTCATTTTTCTCGAGTTATTATAATTAATGCAAGAAAATATGGCAATAAATCATATAAAATGTTTTCTGAAGTCTATAAATACTAGATAAATTCATGGATAACCCATATACTAAACAATAACTTCTCATTAAATTTCACTGATTTTTGTTACAGTTTAGTGTTGTTTTAAATTTTCTTTTTGTTTAGTCCCAATAAATCATAAAACCACTTTAGAGAATGTAAAATGGCTAATAATAATTTTCACAACTCCTGCTCTATGTGGAAGACCTAGAAAAATATTTTATAGAATTTTTTATAATGCATTCCTATTTTTCCCCAATTTTTGTATTTATAATGGACTAAAAACAGGAAAAATAGTTACTCATCCAAAATTCATGAAAATTTCCTAGAAGACCTTAAAATTATTAGAACTCTAAATAAAATTTTTGATGATTTTTATATTCAATATACTATTTTTCTGCTATTTTCTAAGATTAAATACACTTAAATCCACAAAATCGGATTCCAGTGGATAAAAACCACATTTGGGATTTTTCCCAGATTATCTACCCTGTAAATAAACTTTAAAAAACTTTTGGAAATTTACTTTAACTATTTAATAATTATTTCATCAATTAATGATTATTTAATAGGATTAAACAAAGAAAATAGCAACTCTAATTGAAAAATATCTTTTATATTTTTCGCAGCTTCTCTATATGTAGTAACAGTGTTAAAAAATTTTTGGGCAATTTTGGAAAATTTTTTATATTTATTTCAGTTTTTATTAGAATAAATGCACAAAAATCATAAAATTCAGTTAAACAGTTTAGAAATCAATTTTTATATTTTTTCCAGCTTAAGCATGTTTAATAACATTAATACAAAAAGTTTGGGTAAATTTAGAAACTTTTTTCTATTTATTTAAATGTATGTTAGAATAAATGCTCAAAAATTGGGTTAAATAGTTTGGAAATCCATTTTTATATTTTTCCCAGCTTAAGTATCTCTAATGGTAGTATTATGAAAAGTTTAAGAATTTTTATTATCTGGATTCTATTTTTCACAAATTTATATTTTTATGAAGGCTTAAAATTTTGGAAAAATAGTTAATCATATAAAAAATTCAAAGGAAAATTTATGGAAGACCTCTACTGTATTTAGAATGAACATACAAAATTTGAGAATTTTTGGAGTTGATAATATTTTGGCTTTTTAAGAGCTTAAAACACCTTTAAATGTGTTGAAATACCCTCAATTA